CCCCGCTCTCCCCGGGCAGCGTGGGCCGAGCGGAGCGGGCTCCTCCTTAAGGCAGCGGGCAGGTAGCCGGTGTCTGTCGGTGTGGGCGAAATGGTGTTCGTTTGAACTAACTCTCTTGACTGTCAGGAAGTGTACACCTTCGTACAACCAGTGATAGGACCTGAGGGAATGGCCTGAAGCTGTGTCAGGGGAGGTTTAGGTTCGGTGTTTGGAAAAGGCACTTTACCCGGGGGGTGGTTAGGAACTGGAACAGCTCCCCAGGGTCGCAGCACCAAGCCTGACAGAGCTCAAGAGGTGTTTGGACAGCACTCTCAGGCTTATGGTGTGATTATCAGGGATGTTCTGTGCGCGGCTGAGTTGGACTAGATGATCCTTGTGGATCCCTTCCAGCTCTGAATATTCTGTTGTATGTTATATATTCAATTCTCTAAGCAATGCTGAAACCTCTCTTCAGGCATTTCCAGATCTTGGTTTTATTTGTCCGACAAACTCTAATTTTTTTTAATTTTTTTCTCCAAAGCTTTCCCTGCGGAAGAGCTATCAGTGAAGGGACGTCTGGTAGGTTGACAGCTGGGTGTGGCTGATGTTTGCAATAAAACATGATTCAGGATGTGCTGCTGGGTTTGTATGTGGAGATTAGGAAGTAGTCTGTGTGTGAGGTAAAGAAAGTAAAAGGCGATTTAAGGGGAAGAGAAGCAAAGCGAGTGAGCAGACCTGTAGAGTATAGAAGAACATCACAGTTTGTTTAGGCTGTTTTAAAACCAGTGCTTTTGAGGTCAAAGGGCTGCAAGAGTGTGGGGTCACTTCTAAGTAAGGTAAGAATGGAAGGGAACCAGTTTTCATTGTAGCAATGAAGCTTCATCCCTTCTGACACCTGAAGTCTGTTTTAAGGATGTTGCTTCTAAGCATTAAGTGTGTGAAGTCTTCTGTCTCAGTGGAGGTATTGGGATAAGGGACCTGCTCTTTTTATCCTGCTGATAATATTGATTGATGTTCATTAAATAATGCTATGCAGATGTTACCAGGCATTACTGGCATCAAACTTGTGCCTCAAGGCAAAATGCTCACTGACCATCAGTGTAAGATCATCCTGTTTAATATGGGCTGAATCTGTGTGGGACATTTGAAAGGAAAGGGAAGCCAGAAACCTGAGGTAGTTTTGTATGCAGCACACATGATGTTTTCAGCAACTGGGTGGTTCTGGAACTGTGCTGACAAGGACACTCCTGGGGATGTCAGTGAAAAGGAAAACCAGCTGTGTTCATTCTAGCATGCTGTGGAGGGCAGGGAAGTGTGCAGCACATATAATTAAGGGGTGGAATTTGAGGAGAGGAATATTACATTTTAATTGGTAGTGTTGCATGAAAAGTAATGTCTTAATGTAGCCTTAATCCATAATTTTACCTACTGTTTATTTATGAAGTGTAACAACTTCAAAACCCAAGCTTGTTAGTACAGGAAGAATCAGAGCCTTCTGCCTGATTGGCTTTGGAATATTAATCCAGCCACCTGTCCTAATTTAGCTCTGAAGGAAGCACTGATGACACTGAAAACTCAATTAGATATCTCAGTAACAAAAACCACATTCATGATCAAATTATTATGATAATTCATTCATACAGATTATGTATTGTAGCTTGAGGTTTATGTTGACAACTTCTTTTAATTGACAGCTCTTAACGTTTGGGAAAAAGCAGAAAAATGGCATCAGAAGACATCGCTAAGCTTGCAGAGTCACTTGCTAAAACCAAAGTGGCTGGTGGACAGTTGAGCTTCAAAGGCCAGAGCCTTAAACTCAACACAGCTGAAGATGGTAAGAGAAAATACCCTTGTGTTTGTGAGGTGTCTCCCTGAAATTGTAGAATCGTGTGGTAAACCTCTGGCTAATCCTGCATGGACAAGTACATAATACAAGAGTCGTTCAACTACAGCTGCTTCTGATGGAGATGTTTCCTTCCCTTCTGGTGCCCTGCATTGATCTGGTGCCCTGGCCATGCTGCAGCTGCCAGAATTGGGGTTCTGGCCCCTGGTTTGTAGTTGTTGTATTCTTGGTGTTCTCTTTAAGTGCTTTTGACAGTCACTGTGCATCAGAAGTCAGTGCTCCTTTTGAAAACAGCAAGCAAGTGGATCACAGCTCTTGAAACAAGACCTGCACAGAGGAATGGGCTGATACATTAGTCTACTGCAATAGTTCAGTTTCTTTCCAGGTTCTGACCTATTTGTTAGATTCTTACTTTATTTTTTTTTTTCTTTGCTGTGTTTCTTTTCCTCCATTATCACTCACTGGTGTATGTATGTTTCACGATAAAAAAGCCTTGTAGTGGCTGCTTATGCAGTAAACATCTGGAGGAAGTATATATATTCTTAGATCAACATTTCTGCCACACCAAGAAACAGCATGTTTCTATTTGCTTATAGTGCTTACCTGTTTTGCTGATTCCAGAGGTGATGCTTTTTTATAGGTTGCTTTAGTAGTTCAGAGCTACTAAACTATGGGAAAAAGCTTTGGAGCCTGGGAGTGATACTAGTGCCCACTGACAGGGGAGACTGCAGCCTGTTCCTGTGCCTTGCATAGGATTGCTCTGGAGTTAAATTATTCCACTGTGATGTGTGCTAACCAGGCGTCTACTTTTGCCAGTCAGTGGGAACTTCTTCCTGTTGATGTGGCACCAGTTCCCATCAACTTTTAACTTAGTCCTTGTACCTTTGTAGGCACATGCACTCTAGCTCCTAAACCATATGCTGAATGGCAGAGGAATTTTACTTAGGAAGTAAGAAAACCTACTTTTTCAAGTAGGAGGATTGCTATCAGAATAGAACTATAAAGACCTGATGAGAAGGCAGGGTAGGGGATGAAGAGCATTCTCCAGCGACCCGATGCTTTAGCTCTGTTCCTATTGCTATTTCAGGGTCCTTTCACATAACATTGTTCAGCTGGTTTTTGCTAAGGGTAGAGTTAAGCAAGTATTGCTGGATCAGAGGGTTACTGTGGCACCCAAGATGATGGTTGAAAGACTAACATCACTATCTGCTTTTTCCAGCTGAAGAAGTGATCAAGCAAATCGAGGAATTTGATGGCCTTGAAGCCTTGCGCCTGGAAGGCAACACAGTAGGTGTGGAGGCAGCCAAGGTCATTGCAAAAGCCTTGGAGAAGAAATGTGAGCTCAAGGTGAGATTCTCAAGTGGGATGCAGTCAAGGGGAGGCAGTAACATGGAAATACTGAAGGCCTGTCTAGGCTCTTCCTGCAGAAGTCTGCCTTGGGTTAGCCCTGAAGCTTGCTTGATGGCTCTTCCAGTAGGAAGAGCAACCACACAAAAATACAGCGTAACTTGGGGATTTTTGGGGATAAGGGGAACAGTTTCTGTATTCCTAACTGTTCCTGTTTAGAAGTCTTTCAGTCTTAAATCTGGGAAGCTGTGTCAGGAAGAGCCTCTCTGCAGATGCAGCATCAGTAAACAAAGAAATATGGCAACAAAACCGTTAGTTCTTCAGGGAGAGCTGGGGCAGATCTTCTGGAGAATGAGCCTTCAGAGAAGGTCTGAATAGGGAGAAAATAATGGAGGAAATGCACCGTGAGGTGTATCTGTGCCCAAGCTATGTTTACCCACTATTGCTCTAGCCTAATGTTAAGGGGATGCTTTGCTGCTGGAGACACTGTCCCCTGAAGGAGTGTGATCTGAAACACTGATACACATTAGTCACCCAAGTGTGGCTTCTCAAGCAAATTCAGATTGTTTAGCTCCATACCTTAGTAAAATCAGCATTCCTAATGTATCCTTCAGTTTCCTGTTCCTTTTTTCTGTGGTAATTTTCTCAGCAGAGAAGAATTCCAACTTGAATACAAGCAAGCATTCTTGTATGGTGGTGTTCATGGTGTGCATTTCAGTGGCTTTATGTCCTTGCGAGTGAAGTGATTGTAACAGTAGTTCTTGTAGCTCTTTGGCACAGTCAAATGATGACCCAAGGGAAGGCAGACAGCATTAAGCTGTTCCCAGTGAGGTAATGCAACTTATATGTGTAAGCCTCTATACAACTGTGTTGACCTAAATATTTTAGTGGTTTCTATCTGTATGTTTCTTATTTTAGAGATGTCATTGGAGTGACATGTTCACAGGAAGGCTGAGGTCTGAGATCCCTCCTGCTTTGGTAAGTAAAAACTGGATCTGAGACTTCTGACTAATATAACCTGTTTTCTCACCTGTCATGCTTTTTGTGGGAGTATGTTTTTTGGTGCAGAGCTGATCCTTCTCTGCACTGTTAACACTAAATATCTCAGAATAGGTGAGTGATTCTTTTTTGCTCCTCCTGTATGAAGTGGAGAAGAGTTGCTAAAAGGATAAATGCAAGTCCATGCTAGTGAAGGAGCTTGTCCCTTGGGAAAACGTCTTCATGATCTGATAAACAGAATGAGAGCTAAGCTTTCTTAATAAATCATCTGGCCATCTTCTCCAAGACCGTTAAGAGATCCTTGCCTCCTTGAGTCCTATGAAGCAAGAACATGATGAACTCAACAGAATGAAAACAATTTTTCTTTCATCAGTGTAGAGGGGGAAACTGACTTAAAGTATGTATTCGACCTAAAGGGATAGGATTGTTTCTTAGTAATTACTTATGGTTATCTTTAGCTTAATCTGCACAACTTCCTCTCTGGATTTAGCTGCAAAGTTTTCTTTCCCCATGCAGCTTTGCAGAATATCTTCAAAGTGGAAAATTTTTGCAGCATCACTGTCATACCTAGCCACTGCAGCGATGCTGTCACTAAAAGTTAATTCACGCCCACCCACTCACTGCCATCTGTTTCCTTACAGATCTCTTTGGGGGATGCACTCATCACTGCTGGAGCCCAGCTGGTGGAGCTGGATTTGAGTGACAATGCCTTTGGGCCAGACGGTGTGCGTGGCTTTGAGGCTCTGCTGAAGAGCCCTGCATGCTACACTCTACAGGAGCTCAAGCTCAATAACTGTGGCATGGGCATTGGTGGTGGCAAGGTAAGGGTTGTCCCCCTTTGGGAATGAGGTCAGAGCCAGGACTTGGTTTCAGACTTGCCTGCACAGTATGACAGAATGGCTGAGTTTGGGAGGGATCTTTGGTGATTGTCAACTCCCCTGCTCAAGGCTACTAGACTTGGTTGTTCAGGCTTGTGTCTAGCCAGGTTTTGAATATGGAGACTTCACAAGCTCCATGAGTAGTCTATCCTAATATTTAATAACCCTTACAGTAAAAAAAGAGGGGTTGTGTTTAAATAGTATTTTCTGTGCATCGTGTTGTGTGCGTTTGTCTGGCTCTGTCTTCTTTACACCAACTTCTTCCCTTGTCCTGTGCTAGCTGTTCTTACATGTGGACTGTATGTACCCCAGAGCCTTCTCTTCTCCAGCCTTAATAATTCCAGCTCTCAGCCCTTTCCCAGTGAGTAGAATTCTCCAATTCCTTAATCATCCTTTGGACCCTTTGCTGGACTCCTCCCAGTTTGTCCATGTAGGAGCCAGGAATTGAACACAGTACTTGGATGCATTTCACAGGGCTGAGTAGAGAAGGATCACTAACCTGCTGTCATTGCTTTTCCCAAGGCAGCCCAGTAGACTTTCTTTGCTTGAAGTGCTTATTATAGAGTCATGGAATCAGCTGGGTTGGAAGAGATCTCAGATTGTAGAGTCCAACCCTACTGTTGTTACTAGAGCATGGCACTAAGTGCCACATCCAGTCTCACCTTGAAAACCTCCAGGTGAATCCACCACCTCCCTGGGCAGCCCATTCCAATGCCTGATTCCTCTCTCTGTAAAAAATCTCTTCCTAGTATCCAACCTAAACCTCCCCTGGCAGAGCTTGAGTCTGTGCCCTCTTGTCCTACTGCTGGTTGCCTGTGAGAAGAGACCAGCCCCCCCCTGACTCCAGCCTCCTGTCAGGGAGTTGTAGAGGGTGATAAGGTCTCCCCTGAGCCTCCTCTTCTCCAGGCTAAACAACCCCAACTCCTTCAGCCTCTCCTCGTAGCCCCTGTGCTTGAGTCCCTTCACCAGCCTCATTGCTCTTCCCTGGACCTGCTCCAGCACCTCAATATCCCTCCTGAACTGAGGGGCCCAGAACTGTACGCAGTATTCAAGGTGTTGAATTGCTATTGTTGTAATTGCTCACTCATAGTCAGTTTCCTACCCACTAGGACTCCCAGGTTCTTCTCTGCCAAGCTATCTTTGTCCCAAGTTGTGCCCCGGTACTTAAGGCTATTTCTCTCCATGTGCAGGACTGCATGTTTACCTTTAAACTTAGTTTCTTGTTGTTCTATTTTTCCAGTCTCAAGATCTTATCCCTCTACATGCTTTCACTGATAAATTTTGGAAGTGTGAAGATGTTATGTTTTTCCAGGACAGGAAAACAGTTCTATCCTAAACTCTATATTCTATGTCAAGAGAGCTAGTAGCCTTGGATTTGAGTGAACATTATTGCCAAGGCTAGCACTGAAGGGATGCCTGTTGGATGAAACAAAACTGGGACTGTCATGATTGCCAAGGCTCTAGATGTTTACCTCTTTAAGAACTAAATGTTCTTAGTGGCTCAGTGTGTTCCAGTGTTGCAAAATTATCAATTCTTGCTTACGGCTGTGGTGTGCGGATGTTGTAGGCACAGACAGTTTTATTCTATACCCTACTGGAGAAGCAGGTACATTTCAGTGGTGACCAAAGTATTTCTTGGGAGCTGGATCTACAAAACACAGTTGGATTCTTCTAGAAGGAGATGCTGAGGTAGTATGAACTGCTTTGTTTTATCATGTTGCAAAATTATCAATTCTTGCTTACGGCTGTGGTGTGCGGATGTTGTAGGCACAGACAGTTTTATTCTATACCCTACTGGAGAAGCAGGTACATTTCAGTGGTGACCAAAGTATTTCTTGGGAGCTGGATCTACAAAACACAGTTGGATTCTTCTAGAAGGAGATGCTGAGGTAGTATGAACTGCTTTGTTTTATCATTAGATACTGGCAGCTGAAAGAGTTGGAAATCAAGTGCCCAAGGCAAGCCTCTTGCTCTGAAAATATTTGTGGCTGGCAGAAATCGTCTGGAGAATGATGGTGCCACTGCCCTGGCTGAAGCCTTTGGGGTAAGTACAAAACCAGAGCTTCTTGACAGCGAATTGGAGCAAGGTACGATCCACTGCTAGTGTTGATAATGCACACAGAGCTTGGAGGCAGTAGCTGGTGGTTGGTTCGCTGAAGTTGCGATGTTGTTTGCTGCTGAAACAAATCTTCAACAAATGCAATTAGAATTGATGACTGTTTACATGACCTAAATTTCTGAACACATAACTAGTGGCTGTGTAAAGTAGTTACTTGAGGGAGAATTAGTCATCTCTTGAGTAATTTAATAGTAGTCCTATTCCTTTTCCTCCCTCCATCCTAATGGAAGTTGTTTGGCACTGGGGTGGGTATACCAGCTGACCTCTCGAGTGCTACTTTGTCTAGTTGTTCAGTCATTTGGCAAAAGCAACCCAATGGTTTTTTGCTAGGATTGTCTGGTCAGGGCTCGAACTGCTGCCTAGTTTTCTCTGGCTGTCACTGGCTGACTTGCACTTTTCTTGGAGGAAGAGAATTCACTGTGGTTGAGGCCACCTAATTCCCTTTTCTTTCCTCAGTTGCTGCTAGGAGTGACTTCAGAATTATGATGCATATTGTCAGATATAAACCAGTAATTTTGCAGGTTACAGGTTAACTTTTTATGTTTAAAGAACCATCTAGGTGTGCTTTTTGACAATCATGGCAAAAACAAGATGTTTTTTTAAAATACTTGAGTGCATAATGAAGTGATTCATAGAGAATTAAGACTGAATGGCACTACCAAAATGGGATTAATTACAGTGTCTTGTGACATGCTGTTTAGTCTGTAAACAGGGTTTATACTTTCTTACATGTTTGCTTCTGCAGTAGGGGCAAAATGCAGATCTTAATTAGAGAAGTACCATAAGCAGTCATATTGCACGGTCTGTTTCTGTGCTGTTGAACCACAGCTGATGAATTTTTGTGAGTTATTTAGAGCAGGCATACTAGGAGGATGATACTTGTGACTCTCTGAATCGGGGCTTTGTTTTAATCTAACACTTGCCACGAGCCTGCAAGTTCACCCAGATTTGTGACATAATTGCTGGCAAACAATTCTCTGTAGAAGAACTGGTGCGATTTTGAAACTCGAGCAGTTTTAACCCAAAGAGGGTAGCAGTGTACTCTGAAGTTGAAGTACATCTTCTAACAGCTTTTTTTTTTTTTCCCCCCTGTCTGCATCCTATCCCAGATCATTGGGACTCTGGAAGAGGTCCACATGCCACAGAATGGAATTAACCATCCTGGCATAACAGCACTGGCTCAGGCCTTTGCTATCAACCCACTGCTTAAAGTCATAAACTTGAATGACAACACCTTCACAGAGAAAGGAGCTGTGGCCATGGCAGAGGTGAGTTGTTCGAAGCAGGTGCTTTGGGCTTGTCTTCTGCCTCCAGTCTCTTCAAGTACAGTTATCATTAGCACTTTTGGGTCAGTGGAACCTCATGCCATGTTGCAATGGGAAAGATGACATGCCAGAAGGGATAGGATGTTCATTTACTTGCATGTCTCTACTTTTACATTTGTGCTGTGCTTTTCTGCAGACCCTGAAGGCTCTTCGGCAGATTGAAGTGATCAACTTTGGAGACTGCCTGGTGCGTTCCAAGGGTGCTGTTGCTATTGCTGATGCTGTTAAGGAAGGGCTTAATAAATTAAAGGTACTGTATTTTTCCTGTCCAGTTCCCACTTTCTGTATTTCTGTCCTTTTTTTCTACCACGACTGAGTATTTTGAAGTAGGATTCATTTCAATCCAGGCTCTGTGCTCACAACTGAAAAGCAATAAACTGTTGCAGATCAGTGGTATCACTGCATCTAGCTGTGGCTGTTCTACATCTACCTGTGATCTGTTCAGTCTCTGCTTGATGTTTTTGAAGCTGTTGGTTCAACTCAACAAGTACTATTCAAGAAATCTGATAATGGAAGCTTCTGCTTTTAGAACCTCTCAGTCATGAGTGGGGACTGACATGTCTCTCTTCATGAACACCTTGTAATCTCTTCTTTTTGGAATTCATACAGTTAATGGTTTTTCTTTGTAGGAGGCCTATCAAAGGTCCGGGTATTTTTAGTTTTTGGCAATAGCGCAACCTCCTACATCAGTATTTGCACAGGATTTGAATCTGACAACATTCTAGACAGTCTGAAGTCCAGTCAATAACACAGGTAAACTAGGATCTCTAGAAACACCTGCTGTGAGTCACAACCACACTGAGACAGATGCTGAACACAATTCCTAAAACTGCAGTCAAAGAAAAAATTTCAGCTGAGTTCTGATATCTGTGTATATGAACCTGGTGCAGAAAGAAGTAGGTTCTTTGGGGTGTGCTTAGGCTTCTGCTGGTTCTACTGGAAGTTATATCTGAATCTCCCAGGAAAACCTGAGTAATGAGGATATCAAGATGAACAGCCAGAAGTTAAATCTGTTGTTTTTTTCTTTTTTCAGAGCAGAAATAGTTGAGGGAGGGCAGCATGAAGCAATCACAGCTGGTGCATTCTGTTCAAGGACTGCTTCCCTTCTGCTATTAATATTAAATCTCTTGGGAAAGGATTGATTGAGCACAAGGTGGAAAGGTGGGGGATGGTGCCTGGCTGTTGTATAACTTTACTCTTACTAGTGTGTCCACGTGGTTTCTCTGCTGGCTTTGTCTGGCAGATGTAGAACCACTTATGGCTTGCCTTTTAAAGGCCTTAACTTGCAAGCAAAGAGTCAAAAGCAAATGTGGAGTTTTAGTATAGTAGCTACCCTTCTTCAGTTAGACTTACTGGAGTGTGAGTTCTGGAGTGCTTTTGTGAACCTTGATAAGTGAAGACCTCCAGTCAGCTGATTGTTAAGGACTGAAGTGTCTGTTGCCTTTTAGGTAGGCAGTGATCTCTAGGTACTTTAAAATAGTTACCTTTAACAGTGCTGCTCTTACCAACAGTATGTTTCAAAATGTGCCTTTTAGGTGTATGAGGTAGGAGTATGTGTCATGTTTTACTTTCAACTAAAAATACTTTTTTTGTTGAGAGCCTCTTCAAATGAGAGTCTTTTGAGGGCACTTAAGAGTACATCAAATTTATGGGATGATGGATGTTAATAGGAATTCTGCAAACAAATGTTTTTCTTCTTAGGAACTGAATTTGTCTTTCTGTGAGATCAAACGAGATGCTGCTCTGACTGTTGCTGAAGCTATTGAAGATAAAGCAGAGTTGGAGAAGTTGGATCTCAATGGTATGTAGTGCTAGATCAAAGTATGTCTAGTTTGGTTCCAATGAGAAACCACTAGGAAGAATGTTGACAGAATCACATGTTCTTGTCTTGCAGTTGTCAGCATTTAAGAAATGGTAACCTGAGAGTAGCTGAACTTGCATGACCTTGGGACAGGAAGCAGTTAGATCCTGAAAGTTTTCTTAAACCATGAACTCAGTTAATTGTTAAGCATTTTTGGTACATGTTGTAAGGTGGAAAGATTAAACTAATATCTATAGCCGTTCGCAGAAGAACTTTTCAGTTGTTCAGTGTGAACTCATACTTCATACTTGCAAGCACAAACCTGTGTTCATCTCTGCAGAAGAGTGGGAGAACTTTGGCTGTTGTTGACATTTGCTGTTCATACCTTGGGTCACAGCATTTCACTGATGCGGTGTGTCCTTGTTGTGGAATCACTGAGAACAAGACCTGTTTATAGAACTAACAAGAAGTCTCTCAAACACACCCTGAAAAATTAGGGGATTTTATGTCTCCAAGCATTGTGTAATGCTGCTGTTTAGCAACTGTTTGATTGTCTAACTGCAGCCTGTGTTGCTGCCCCTAAGGTGTTGCATAGAAATGGCTGATAACTGTTCAATTTCAGAAACAAGAGATAAGAATATACAGCTAAATCCTCAAGCACAAGCTTGTGTGCATCTGAGTCTCCTTTCTTTCCTTTCTCAACCTAGGTAACTATCTGGGAGAAGAGGGTTGTGAACAACTCCAGGAGATCCTTGAAAGTTTCAATATGGCAGCTGTGCTGGGATCTTTGAGGTAGGCAGGGTACCAGAGTCTAAATCAGATTTTCTGATGACTTTCATCAACACTTTCCTTTGCCTGTCTCACTTTAAAATAACAACTGTATCATTGCTGATGGATGTTAGTTGGAATGTAGAGCGCAGCCAAGGGATTCCATGAGCAGGGTATTACCTTGTGTGGTGTTCTCATTGATGGACTTATCTTAGTGTCAGTTATTGGTTGTGTTAATCAGTGTTTTTGCTGTTGCCAACTGAGTGACTGAAGCCTGAGTGTCCTCTCAGTCTGTTGTAGGTGAGATGTGCTTCTTGCAGTAAGACTTGAGGAGAGGCTGCTCTATTGTTCTTGAAAAACATGTTTTGAGTGCCAATGTACAGGAATTGCAAGTATGTAATTAATGTAATGCATAACACTCAAACCTTAGTGATGATGATGAAGATGATGATGATGATGAAGAAGAGGAGGATGAAGAGGAAGAGGAGGAGGAACAGCAACAGCTGAAGGAGAGAGGGGAGGAAGAACAGGAACCTCTGACACCTAAGAAGATAATTGATTCACAGGTAAACTTACTTCCAGATGGATTCCTGTTTCCTCAGCTGGAGGAGAGTAAAGGAGGAAATGAGATCTGGAGTGAGTCTGAACTTGCAGTGCTGGCAGTCATTCACATTCCTGTGTGGGCTGGCACTGCTGCAACAAGGAGATAGAATTCAGGAAATAAAGAAAATGGATTACTTGGAAAAAGGTGCTTTGTTGAAGTGTGCATGTGTACACGTGCATGGAGAGAGAGGCTGAATAGTGGTTGTAGCAACACATGGATGGAAATTCTTCCTGTGTTCAGAGAGTGGTGGGAGCCTTGTACATGCAATGCCATGCAGTCTTGTTGGCATATTCAGGCTATTCCAACTTCAGGCTCATCTCAGCCTCAAACAGTTTTCAAACAGAACAAATTCTGACATGATGTAGCTGTGTCCTGACCTGTCCCATGTGCCTCTGGTGAACCAATTTATCTACTTGTAAGAGTAAACTTGAGTTGGAATTTGTGTATTTCAGGCTTCAACTCCAGTGCCATCTCCTCCTGTGGATGTTGCCACATTTCTTGCTTTCCCATCACCAGAGAAGTTGCTGCGACTAGGACCGAGGTGCTCTGTGCTGATAGCTCAGCAGGTAGGTGAGATAGTTGTCTGTACTTCATTTTTCTCTCAGAATCATTTAATCCCCAGAGGTGATAACTTCTTGAGACCTGGATTTCCATCTTCTCTCCAGTGGTCCCAAGGAACTTGGGGACCACTGCAGATGATGCAATTAATGCTTATAGTGGCATCAGAGCTTCTACATAAAGTAATTTTGTTGGTGTTGCTTGTGCCCTGTGGTATGGCCAAGGCAAAGCTGATGTCGGTCAGCTGAAGGCTGTGATTGTTGCCACAGCTCTAGCAGAGCCCTGTGTTCTGTAGCTGGTGAGCAGTGAACTGATTTCTTAACTTTTTTCTCTTTCAGACAGATACATCTGATGTAGAGAAAGTAGTTGCAACTCTCCTAAGGATATCCTCAGTCTTCAAAGATGAAGCCCCAGTGAAAACAGCAGTGCATGAAACAACAGGTGCCTGAGCCTTTCTTCACTTTATGATATGACCTGTGTCAGTGCTGAGGACACCACTGTGATGTGGGGGAAGGACCTGTGGGCCAGGCCATTGGGCCTTTTTGTCCCTGGCAGATGAGTTACCCAGCTGTGCCATGCTGTGGTGTGGAGTGAAAGCAGAGATTCATTTTGAACTTGGCATATCTTGTGCTGCCAAAGCCTGGTGGTGATTGTTGTAGCTGCTGTCCTAGTGGGCCTGTGCTGCCCTTACTGCATCTCCTCAATGCTAAGCTGTCAGTAGCCAGTAGTTCTGTGTTCCAAGGTCAGTTACTTTTTCAAGGCTATGTATTTAAAGAGTATTTTGCAGGAAGTGCGCATTACACACTGTACTTCTCCCAGTGTAGTCTTATGAGAGTGTAAAGAGATCTCTTAGTTGATGTCTCCTTATCAGTCTGAAGCATCTTTAATTTCTTCAGGAAACAGATTATTTCCAACATGGAACAAGGCACAGAAGCTAATGTACAGACAAAGGGCTGTTCCACACAGACTGTGGAGCAGTAGTTTGGGTCAGGTTCAATGAGCATGTGGACTAATAGCATCCCTTCATGTTCTTGCTCAGAAACAGGAATTTCCAAACAATCCCAGGCATCTGACCACTGCCTATCATCTTTTTCAAATCCCCCAGCAGGACAGTTCTCCCACACATGAGCTATGTATCAGTATTGTGCGAAAGAACTGGAATGATTAAGTTTGGAATTTCTTTGCTTTGGAATACATAGGCATGGTCTAACTGCTAGGTGTTGTCTGCAAAACAGTAATGCAGTGGTTCTCTGCAGTTGGTTATGGGTCTAATCAGTTGAAAATAGTCAGCTGGCACCTCACTGACCTAGTGTACCTTGGTTCATGCCCATTGTGGGTTGTCTCCAATAAAAGATGGAGCATGAGATATCCCTGTTATCTGAAGTGTGCTTGCATATGTATTTATAGCTGTTCCCTACTTCTGCTCCTTCAAGAAAGGCAGAACCCAGCAATTACTTTCCTTCCATAAAAGTAACCATGAGCTGACAGTGAGGTCCCTGATTAATGCCTGGCACTGTTCTACAGCCACTCTAGTGAATTCAGCCTGTTCTAAGAAACCAGAGAGGCCAGAGGTGAAAAATGAGTGCCTTGCCTACCTTGCAGACATGAGAGGTTAAATCACTGGTTTGCCTGTAGCTTGTGGCAGAATACTGGTCCCAAGTGAGCCCAGAAAACAGCTGAACAAATTCTCTCATTGTGTTCTCATTCCTTGTGGTTTCAAATGAGAGGTGAATTCTTGCTGGCCTTTAAAAAATCAAGGCCCTGACTCTTGGTGCTCTGCTCCAATAGTTCATGTTTAGATGTGTGTATGCAGACAGCTTGCATGCTCAAATGCATTGAGCAGAGCATCTGGTGGTGCATAGGACTGAGGTCAAATTGCACCTGAAGCTTGGCAGTGTGGGAATTTTGGTGTGGTGTTTTGTTGGATTTTATTTGTTTGGGTTTTTTTTCTTCTGTGTACTTCAGGACATACTTTTACTTGTCTCAGTATTTCAGAGATTATACCTAGTCCCTGCAGACACAACTGAAACCTTTACAGATACTACATCCCAAAAGTCCTTTAACAGCTGATGATCCCTGCGGTTATGTGTGATCGATCTTGGTCTTGAAATCTGTGTCCTTTTTTTTCCATATTGTTAATATAATGTCCTTGTTTCTTTTTAGATGCCTTGATGAGAAAAGCCTTTGGTTCTGCCACATTTAATTCAGATGCATTTGTCACAACCCTCTTGGTCCACATGGGACTACTTAAGGTGAGGAAGCAGGAAAGAGTTAAGTTATGGTCTGTTTTGACTGTGGAAGACCAGACTGGCTGGGTTTTGGGTAATTATGTTGCCATGGAAGCAGCTGGGTGCCTGTGCATGCCTGATGTCCAGGGACAATGGAAGTCTGCAGGTCCAGCAGAAACTGCAAATTGCAAGGTTGCATTAGGATGAAGGAGGTGTCAACTCTCTGTACACATTCTGTTTAACGTGCTCTGCATTCTCAGTCATCCCCTAAAGGTAGGGAGGGTCAGGTAAGGCAATAGTGCTGCTGCTAGATTATGGTGTCTATAAAAAGACATGTCCAGGAGTCTAATCTACAATATTATTAGCTAGTGGAGTCCTTTAGGGCATCTCTTGGTAGGATCTCTTGGTAGCTTGGGGTCAAAAATGTGTATCCAGCTACTCATGCCACATCAGTAGTGTTCAACTGCATGCTTTGGAGTATCTTTGCCAAATGCTAGTGTTAAATATGTAGTTACATGGAGTAAACTTTCTTGTGAGAAAAGATAGAGGGTCAGTGGGAAAATTGACTTAGGATTAGGATACTTGTAGCTTTGCTTTCAGTAAGGTGGCTAGGAAGAGTTTATCTGCAAACCTAAACACCTTTGCCTGCTCATGCTGCAAGGGTTAATGTTTGTCACTGCCTCAAGGCCTGGAAACTGAGAATGGAAGCTTGGACCAAGACAGTTCTAAACTACAGAGTAGCCATAATTTGTTATAGCAGCCTGGTATTGAAGAGGTTTATGTACAGCCTTCTGGTTATATCCAGCTTGGGGTCTAGACAGCTGTTGACATGCTTGGACACATTTAGTTTCTTAAAAATCAATTTAGCATCTGTGTTCATTATGCACTGGACCAACACGAGCCTCCCACTTACCAGAGAGGTCAGTAGAACCAGAGGTGGCATTTTGTTTTGCAGACCAAAACAGTTTTGGGGACTGCCACCTACCTCTTGCCCATATAGAAAAGAGCAAATATGCATGTGGCACAAAGCACAGACTTGTGCTCCAGAAGAATTTTTTCAGGTCAGGAAGTGGCATTGATGATAAAACCCTGAGGATCAGCCAGTTGATTGTCCTCTGTGATATAGAGGACTGTTGATGAATTAGGCACATGTGTAGAGGGAGTGTACTGCCATTTTCTGTCCCACATAGCTAAAAGCACATGAGCAACAGATATTCTTAGCACCATGAAGTCCAGGGTCATACACCTAGGTCTAGATCCTGTCTGGAGGTGTGTTTTTTTTTTGTTGAAATATCAGTGGAGAAATAAATGAGAATAATATTAGAGTTGAGACATGTAGGTTTAGTTTCACAGCAAAGATAACTTATGCATCATGCAAGCAGAGGGTGTCTATTGGCTTTACCTTGTGCAGAATTGAGACCAGTCCTGTAAATACTGCATCACCTTCTGGAGGAAACCTGCCAAAGAACTGGAGGTGGTTTAAAAAAATTAGCTACAGAATAATACAAGGGAAAATTGTTAGGCAACTGAATTCTTTATGGATTAAGTCTGGTGAAAATCCTTAGACAAACACTTTGACACAGGGCCCCCAAGAAGGTTTGGCTGTTTCACTTGGAAGTTCATTCCTTTCTTTTCCCCATCACTGCTGCTGTCAATTGATAAGTACTAGGAAGTTCTTGATACTTTATTTCAGGTGCTGGGAGACTATGGAATTGGCTAACTTTTGCCTTGTGGAACATTGCAGTTAATCTAGTGACCAGCATTCTCTGCTACAGTGTGTGGGAGCACTTCATCCAACAAAGAATTCATTGCCACTGTGAGTTACAGTGGGTTAGATCAAATTGTGATTGTCTGTCTGACTTCATCTTCTTGTCCTTTTCTCAGAGTGAAGAGAAGATCAAAGCTGTTCCAAGCCTCTATGGTATTCTTATGACCTTGAACCATATGGTCCAGCAGGATTATTTCCCTAAGTCCTTGGTCCCAGTGCTCTCTGCTTTTGTCACAAAGTGAGTATTGTACTTGCCATGCAGTCTTCTCCATGGGAGCTAGTGCGACTGTTTGAGGGTTTATAGCTACAGGCAAACTGTTCTGATACAGCTCACTAAATATCTGTTCTGAAACTGAGGATTAGTAGTTTAATAGGCCTCTGCTTTATCTTGTTTACTCTAGTTTGTGAGGTTCAGAGTGGAAAAAAAATACCTTGGTCCTAAAGGACTAGTGGGAAGTTGGCTTTGCAAAGAAGTGGCTCTGAAGCAGAGATTGCTAATGCTTGTCACAGAAGAGGTGTTTTGAGCTTAAGGAAACCTGCTGGGTTTCTGGCCACTGCTTGAGTGAACTGTGAGTACACTGGATCTAACTGTGCCCTCCAAGTCATCTGTCTGAGTGTGAGGGTCAGCAGAGCTCTACCAGAATCGTCATGCTGTGTGACACTGAACACCAGCAGATGAAAACACTGCCAAACACAAAGACTGAATTTGTTTCTAAATGAAACCTCCTACTGTGAAAGCAACAAGGTTAGTGCTTTTTCTGTTAGCTAAATTGGAAGCATAAGCTGCTTTTACTGTCTGACTATACTGAATGTTATTTCTAGTACAGGTGTATAGGACAAACCCCTGTCCCCACCAGCTTTAGCTTCCTAAATGTATTAAATGACTGTGGAAGCAACATCTCTTCTGGATTAAATCAGTGTGAATTTCAGCAGTAATGAGATTTAGGGGAAAAATCCTGCCAAATAGACTCTCCCTCAGGAGAGGAAGGATTCCATACTACTATTCAGCAGTCAAGAGGAGGAACAGGCCCAAAGTGTCACTTTAGGCAAAACCAGCAGAAGTCTGAAATCCATTTGGAGCTTAGTGCTGTTTGGCTTAGCATAGACCATGTGCCATGTAGGATTAGAACAGCTTTTTAACAGGTTCTAGGATGAGGCTCAAGCCTTCCTGATTTTCATGGGGTGTTGCTAATAAGCAGATGCTTAAGATCTTTCACTGATGGAAGGCAAAGGCATGAGATACCTGTGGTCAGTAGGAAACATGGGCAGTAGGCATGCAGTCAAATACTAGTGGTCTGTCCTGGTTCTCCTGGGCTTGGAAGCTGGCCAGTTGTGATAAAGGGAAAGAACTTGTCCAAGCACTGGTGTGGCTGAACCTGTGAAAGCTGCTGTGTAGCAGTGGTATGTGCCCAGTAACCACCAGCCATGCTAAGGGCTGTTTTGGAAAATAAAATACACATGTGCAAATACCAACCTGGCAGCCCTTGTGGAACATCTTGTCTGCTGTCTCCCCTCTTTGGCTTGGTCAGGTTAAGAATTAGGCAGTTACAAGCCAATGATCATATGCTTTGTCAATTGAACAAATATACCTCCAACTCAATCATTATAGGTTTAAGCAAGAAGTATCAGGAGTTGTCATGGGAACTTGTTTAGACAGATCACTGAATTTCTGCTGTTTTAGCACTGCTGCTTGTGCCTGTGATCTTGGCTGTTGATCAAGCCCCAGCTATTAAAACAGGGAACTTAAACTGGTGGAATCTGAGAATACAGAAAAAGGGACTGTGGGTCAGGGCATTTGACTGTTCTAATTGCTTATGTCATGTTTCAGTGCCTGGAGTAGCCTCTTAATTCGACTTGATGTGTCCTTCTAAACAAATTTTGCTCACAAAAGACACTTGTGCCCCCTCTGCCTATATGTATGTATGTAGGCCTGTCCCAATAAATGTTTTCAACTGTAGATGATTGATGCTGTATGTGACAAAAAAATAAGAGTAAAATTCTTGTTTTAATGGATTCATCAACAAAAATCCCATTGAATCCAGAGCCAGCCTTTCACTGTAAGAACAAGAGGGGAGAGTCTCCCTCTGAAGTGTGAGATTGTTCAAAGGTTGTGTAAAAGCCAAGTGAGAGCCAAGAGCTTCTTGCAGTTAGAAGGCAGATCTGCCTGCCTGCCTGTGGATGTATTGATGCTAATGCCAAGCCTGCAGTGTCCCTGGTGCTATGAAATGCTTGGAGCTGAAGCTTTCTGATTTGCAAACCTCTCTGTTGCAAGGTGTGGGGTGTTACAGGGAAACTCATGTCCTGTGCAGCGCTATATACAAACATTACACCTTTGTGTTGTATGAATATATGTACTACTTAAAATGCTTTCCCTAAGGGAATTAAGGAACAGCTCTTAGATTATCATACAGACATCTGTAATCTGTTCAGGAACCACAGAGTCCAGTTAAAACAGTCTGTTGTGGGTTAACCCCAGCTGACAACTGAGCCCCACACAGTCCCTTACTCCCCCAGATGGGATGGGGAAGAGAAGCAGAAGAATAAAAGTGGGAAAACTCATGGGTTGACATAAAGAGAGATTAATAGGTAAAGCAAAAGCTGCTTGTGCAAGCAAAGCAAACCAAGGAACTCATTCACTGCTTCAGCTATCTCCAGGAAAGCAGGGCTTGATCATGTGTAACCTTCTTTTTGCTTTGTATGCTGAGCATGATGCCATGTGATATGGAATATACCTTTGGACAATTGGCATCAGCTGTCCTGGCTCTGTTCCCTCCCAGCCTTTCGTGCACCCTTGGCCTGCTGCTCACTGGTGAGGTGCTGTCAGAGGTGGGGGAGGCCTTGATACTGTGTGAGCACTGCTCAGCAGCACTGAAACATCCCTGTGTTATCAACACTGTTCTCAGCACCAATCCAAAACGCAGCCCTGTTCCAGCTACTACGAAGAAAATTAACTCCATCCCAGCCAAAACCAATACACAGCTTCTCCATTAACTTCCCCCACCTTGTCTCTTCTTGCAGTTGTCAGTAAAATCACATCCTAATCTTTAACTGGTAAACCTAGTAATATGCAGAGCTCATATGGCCTCTGTCTGCAACAAAACTGCTTCCACTTTGTCAAACCCACAGTTCCTTCACTTGCAGCAAACTGGTATGCATTTTTGTGATATTTTCTGTTTCTTTCCTTTTGGGTTGCAGTTAGCTCTTTTGGGCTTCCAGAGCTGTAAAGTTCATGTAGCTGCCTAGGCTAGAGCTCTGCTGCCTTTTGCTGCAGGGGGTTTACTTCTGGTATATACTCATTTTGCTTTCTTTTTGTGACAGTTTGAGATGTTGTAGGCCATGTTCTGTGCTCAATAAAATGATGGATGGATACAGACTGGAAGCAGCATCCATCTTACCCTGCTGCTGTCAGGCCTCGTTGTCTTGTCTTTGGACACAAGGGGGTGCTGTCAATCCACGTGTTCTTTTCCATGATTTTTTTGGTGGAAACACTGGAAGTATGTGGCTATCTGCTAGCCCACTTGTGACTTCCTGGAAGTGGTGGTGGGTTTGGGGTTCTGGGTTTTTGGTTGGGTGATTATGTGGTTTGTTTTTTTTTTTTAAACGCTGCTTTTTGCTGTTGAATTGCATCACATCAGTGGCCTCGTTCAACAGTCTAGCACAGAGTGCAGGCAGTTTAACTCCACAGCAAATAAGGAGATTTTTAGTGTTAGAGAAGGCTTGGTGTTAGGAGCGGAGGCTGGGAGAGCTTGGCTGTGATCAACAGCAACAGTTCAGGTTCTCTCATTCCAAAACCAGGCAGCTGCCTCAATGGAACCAGCCTCATTGCAAACAGGGCTGGGGCTGCCAAAGCTGGTGGCTGAAATGCCTCACCCTGCCATGCTGTGATTCTGTGACCCTGTTCAGTGTGAGGCATTGAATGGCTCTTGGGAGAATAAAAAGGATTAAGTCATCTCCCAGGATGTGTCTCTTTTAAACTGCAGCAGACATGGAGTGCTCTACCAGACAAATTCTGCAGCTACTGTTTGTGTGCTCTAAACCCAGAAATGCATTCCTTGTTCCTTGCTAGCTATTCCACTCTTTATTTCAGCTCACTCTTCTTTCCCCAACTGAGTAGGCTTCATTGCTATTCATCATTACAGGTTCCTTTGCTGTGGTGTGGTGGGAGAGAGGTAAAATTAATGATTTTCATTCTCAGAACACTGGAAAACATTGGATTAAAACACTTTGAAGGATGGATAGAGATTGTTAAAAGTTTCAATGATGCTTAGCTAACAGTTAGCCTGTGGGAACAAATATACATTACTGGGAGGTGATTGGAATGCTGGGGAACTTTAGCCCCATGTTAATCCTGCTGTGACTGTATTTCCATCATATAATTTCAAGGAGCAGATTATTCTGTGTGAGTTGGACCTTTCTGTTGCAGCCTTTGTGCTGTTCTGCAGATTCTGTGGGCTGTTTATAAGGCATCCTGAAAGGTGGCCCAGCAAAGTACTTGACCTCAGAGGAGGAAAGGACAGGAAGTTATGTTGCCTCTTTTTAAAGACTTAAAAAGCTCTCAGACCAAAGTCACCACCTGGCAGTGTTCAGAGCCAGGTTGGATAATGCCTTGAGCAACTTGGTCTAGTGGAAGGTATCCCTGCCTATGGCTCGTGGGAGGGGTTGGGACTAGATGATTTCTAAGGTTGATTCCTTAACATTCTAAGGTCTGTTCCTTAACATTCTATGATTCTATGATTTTTAACACCTGTTACAGGTTGTAGATAGCAGATGACTTGGTGAGAAAAGACTTGGGTGCAAGCAGGTTGTCACCAATGTTTTGGAGACCTACATAGTGAATCTTTCTTTAAAATCCCATTGCCAGAAGGGAGGGAAGAGGATTTCCACCCCCACCCACTTCACTCTATCCCAAATAGATGCTGGACTGCAGATAAGCAATCTGTTGCTATATTTTTTCCTACCTGTGGAAATAAACATTTGGATTTTTGGCCATTGTCTTCCTGACTTGGACTCAGCAACAGGAGAAGAGTTTTTCACAAAGATTTGCCTGGGAAGCAGTGGTCTGGGCAGCAATGAGGGAATGATTTCAGAAGAGGTAACTGAGGGGCAGAGGTGTAGGTTTTTGGGCATGCAAGCCCAGAGTGTTGGAAATAGTGTTTATTTGCTCATTCAAAGTCAGATACAAAAGCAGTTTTTAAAGTGTTTAAAATCTCTCTCTCCTCTTTCCACAGACCAAACCGTGCTCTTGACTCCTGTTCATTTGCTCGCCACATGCTCTTACAAACCCTCCACCAGCTGTAAGAGATGAGAGATCTCCCTTCCCTCATAGGATTGTCGTCAGCAGAGCACTCGGAGATGCGTGGTGGGAGAGCATCCTAGAGCCCATACAGACATGCTGTCCTTTTTCCTCCTTTCCCTGTAGGAAGTCTG